TTTATGGACGATCTCTGAGCGACGACAAAGTGACCTTGGGAATGTCTGCCTACTTACTAGGGCTAAATGAGGGTTATAAAGCAGGTTGAAGAATAAAGATTATGATTTACAGTTGATGGTTAGGGTTAGGAATTAGATTTAAGGTTTTCATCACGAACTGACATTAGCTATAATGCCAAGACTCTATTTAGCCAAATGGGTGAGTGAATTTCGCGCCAAAATCTCAGACCTGTTATCGTAACTCTGATTGGTTCATCCATAAATTATAGGCTCGCCGAAAATATTTGTTTTTAATGGTACGAAGTTTTCTCAAATGGATGGTTTAATCTTCATCTTCTCACAACTTTCTTTAATTTTTAAGAGTTGGATACAGAGTGGGAAATAAATTGTGGGATGAAGTTAAAATTACATATTATTTATTATGTGACACACTAAGAAGCTTAAAGGGAATGAATAATGAAATGATGTTTTATTCAAGGTAATGTTGATGATACTTTTAATATTTGTAATGGTCAACAACGAAAAACATCTGTTGAACCTTTTTAACGGCGTTCGTAAAAATGTTGAATTTACTGGGGAACAGGAAAAGGATAATAAGCTCCACCTTCTCAAGGGTATGGTGGTGGTGCCGTTCAACGTTCAGTTTATCGAAAAGATATATGGAACGGCGTTTATTTGAATGTTAATAGTTTTTAACCAATTATTTACAAAAAGGTACTTTTCAAAATACTTTCACAGAATGGTAAGGGTATGTACCACCGATACACTAAAAGTAGAAACAATGAATGTGAAGGAATACTTAAGGAAAAAATGGGTCTCCAAAGAAATTTATTAATGAGAAATGAGAAAATAAAAGGCCTGAAAAAAATCAAATTAGACAAAAAACCTATTTTCAGTTAACATGGATTTAAAGGCGACGATATTGGATTGACAATAAACAGAAAATTCAAAACCACACTGACCAGAATTTATCCTACAGTTAGACTGATTATCTTTTATAGGAAATTGTATTTTTTACTCTAATCAAAGATCGATAGGTACCTTTTTCATTTTACTGCCAACTGTGCATAAAAATTTACATATCTATGCCAAAGCAGTTACATTAATAGAACAAAAAGAAGGGCCTACGTTCGATTCCAAGAACATATCCCAAAAAGTCTCAGGTCACTGGGATTGAAGCCTTTAACAGTGTAATTTCAAAACATCTATGTGATATGTGACATCAAGTTGATGGACTGAAATCTTTCAACATTCATTAATCGACAGTCGGACTCCATTCTTTTGAAATTCTCCGAAGCTATCAAGCGACTCAAGCTGAGGTCCTATATCCAAAAGGAAACAGTTGCAATTTTTTTCCTTACCATCGTGACTTTACCATCAGTTTTTTACACTATTCTTACAATTTAACTCAATTAAATAGCTTCTTTCGAATTCAGAATCTTTGTTTTTAACTACCTGATCTCGACTCATGCTATTCTTAATTGCTATAACTGTGTGTTCAATGAATCCATTACATAATCAATAAATTATTTTATCTCTGTGATCTCTTGTTACTATGACTGATGATCCAGAAGAACAAAGAACTGAACAGAATAACACGAATTCACTTTATTTCGTTTAGTTCTTTATTCTTCCACTCTGCGAGATTAACTACAGGTTGAATCAATAAGAGATCTAAAGATTCTGGGTGTGGTTATGTAGAAATTATTAGTTACTAAAACCGAGACGAAGATCATCGTTTATCATTCTGAAATCCAATAATCTACATGTTTAATCTTTTAAAAAATACACCTAGAATGGAAATCACACCATGGTATTGCTGACATTTTTAACTTCAACTTCCAAAATATGCTGTATTTCCAAATGATTTGATTAACCAGAAGGGGCGTTCTATGTGTAAAAGTATCCATCTTTTTTTAAGTCAAAGATTTATCATAAACGACAGCTTACATTAAAACAATACTTTGATGAGCTAAATCATCACTTTAATAATGATTAAGAACAGGTATTTCTTTTAGAACATGTCTATAGGGTTAAGCTAAAAGAAAGCTTGTACACGACGAAAACAACACGTAGGATCAGATCATGAAGTTATTATCTGCTAGACTAAGCCATTTTGTTATGTCCAAACTACCCAGTTAGGATCATTGGTTTAATAACCACAACCGATGTTTGGAGATGTTAGGTTGACCATGGCTCAGAATCTCAGTCATAACTGCTCGGTTTTAATTCTCCTTATTTTTCTCTTTCTAAACTTCGAGTTTCACTATTCCTCCGTATATACGTCTATTCATTGTCTTTTAAAACTATCTTCTTAATGCTCAACCATTCCCATCATTATTGTCAACGCATTTGATCGATTTATCAGCATTTTTGTCATTAAAAACAAATTTATATGACAACTTGGTCTGGAGCGCACTTATGCGATATTTTATGTTGATTATGACCAACTGACTGACTTCTTTGTATCTTTCATTTTTAATATCCATTAGATTGTGGAAAAAACTCAGGTATGATTTAATTTGCTTAAACAAAATCAAACACTGTTAAGACAAATTTACTATAGATCAAAATAATCATTCGGAAATCACAATTGATTGATCACTGGGTGGTGATCAATGCCATGTGTGTCAAGTCCTTATTTAGACTGGTGGCCACATTGCTACATGGTTGATAGCGTTCGATCTGCACTAAATAAGGACTTGACACACATGGCATTGATCACCACCCAGTGATCAATCAATTGTGATTACATCTCAGTCCTACAGGAGGTCAGTTGAGGCTCGGATAGCTCAGTGGTAACGTCTCTGACTATGAAGCTTGGTGACACGGGATTGAATCCGCCAGGGAGCACTGGTTCTCTCAAGATTACAGGTACACCTTGCTGACGAGTGCCAAGTAGCACGAAACCCGAGTCCAGGGTTTCCTGTTGACTACCTCCAACCACCATCTAATCTCAATTATTAGAAAAACCTAATAGTTGCTACATTGTATAATGTATCAACAGAAAGAACTAACCAAATGGTTAGTATTACAGTAGTTATCTAAGAATCAAGAGATGAATGTTGAGAATATGTAAAACTACAGAAGTGGAAGAAATTAGAAAATTAGGCGAGACTAGAATTTATGGATGAACCAATCAGGTATAAGATAACGAGTCACGGATTTCGGCGCAAAGTTCATGCATACATTTGGCTAAAAAAAATTTGACATTATGGTTGATGTCAGTTCGTGATGAAAACCCTAAATCTAATTCCTAACCGGAACCATCAACTGTAAATGAGAATTCTAACTACTTTATAACCCTCATTTAGTTCTACTCAGTAGGTGTCCTTTCTCAAGGTCACTTTGGCGTCGTTCAAAGTCGTCCATAAATTATAGACTTACCGAAAATTATTTAAATATTATTTAAGGTAAGGGTTTAATCAAAGTTCGGCTAAATGCTCACTCTTATATCGATGGTCAAAGTAGCGAGAATAATTGTACAAACTTCTTTTATTATACAAAGGTTAAGTTTGTGAACATGGATTTCAATAATTTCAGCAATGTCCAATGAAAGATCTTGTAAACCATATGGTAACTTTGATGGAATGTGATTCATTTTAGCAAATATCAAAATGGAAATGTAAGCTTTAATAAAGCTTCCATTGATGAACATTTCTTTATTATGATTGTTTTCATTAAAATCATGAACTGATTTAATTTAAACTATGATTGAAAACCTGGAAGCACTGGATGGCCGTGGATGTGCACTGCTACTGAGGAGCCCCATACTAGAATGAAACAGCTGTCTGGTGCTTCCAGGTTTTCAATAGTTATGTAACTTTAATAGGTTCATGATTTCAATGAAATTCAACAATCTCCACAACCCCATACTGGAAATTCAACCTAATTGTTTAAAGTTATTATACTTTTTGTGAAATGTAAAAGTTCGTGATGGGTCAGTTGTTGAGACGTTCCGATCAAGTCTAAAATAACATCGCATTGTTCTCTATACTTTATTGTGGAAAAAAGGAACGAGATTCTCCTTTCATTATCTCAGTCAATACATAGAGCTCGCTTCAAATAGAGAAAGATTTCTATAAACCATTCCTTTCCCCCCTACCTACATATCCTAATAGTTCTGTTAGAAATATTGAGTGATAGTTGAATAGTGGTCACTATCATGTTCGTTCAGTTGAATTCTATTAATCAATTAACAATCTGGTCCTTGATCTAAGTGACTTGATATCACATGTAGTATGCTGAGATGTTAGACTGTAGTTAGAGTTAATTATTAAAAAAAAGCGAATCTAGGTTTCGTGCTAGTTATCACCCGTCAGTAAGGCGTACCTGGAATGTTTAAGGAACTGTTACTCTCAGTTTCGCAGTCTGAAACATTACTATTGAACTATTCAGGTAGTGACTAAACTCCTGTAAGATTGAGATATTTACAATGGTTGATCACTGAGTATTTATGAACATTGTTATCAATCTATGAATCATTCAGTCCCATGCTATTACTTTATTATTTAACATTGAGGAAGTGCTGTTCATTTCTCATAAATTTATGTGGAATATCAGTATGAGGTTGTGGAGATTATTGAAATTTGATTTAAATCAAAAACCGATCTAAGTTACAAAAATATTGGAAACCTGGAAGCATTGGACGTCCGTTTTCCCCCTATTACTGAACTCTTCAGTAGCGCATATCGACTACCATCACCACCAGTAATCGAACTCATTATCCAATGATGTATATGTCTAACTTCTATCAATCTGTAATATCACTCAAACATCTTTCAATGTATTTGCCGGGTAATTTCCTCAACACTCGACACATTGAGTAATTTATTTTTACGGATAATGTTTAGTACATTCAATATTGTTCTGTCTTTAGTTTTACTATTATTACTATTGTTCCCATTGGTGTAAATTGTTTAAAATGTGTGTTTTGTTTTATTTTTTTCACATAACCTCAATGTTGTTATTTTGTTTAACATATCTGTTTACCTTTATAGCTTTATATGAGAAAATTCTTATCGGTGAATTAGATCAATTGCATAAATCACTGGAACAACGATGTCTTCTTTCCAACACATTTGATTCAAGTCAATTAATGACAATTTCATGCTCCGAAGACAATGTTAACAGTGGTGTTAGTGGTCGGGAGAATACAAACTCCACGATAATGACACCAGCAATACCAGTAACAACAAACCCCTCATCATCATTATCATCTACAACAATAACTGGTTTGAAAATTGGTAATAATCCAACATTAGGTACCAATTTACCAGCATTAACAACTGATCCTGCTAGAGCATTACTTATTGCTGGACAAGTATGTGATTGGCCAGGTTGTGGAGCTATTCTTGGTCCAGATACATCGTTTATTGAGTAAGTCTTCATTGTTACAAAAAAGCTCTTTTTAATGTTAAATTCATGTAGTGAATGAAGAGATGCCTTCAAAGCATTTTACATGGTTGTATTAGGATCATTGAGTTAGACGCAGGGGGTTGATGGTATTAGATGAGGACCGGAAAAACGTTTGCTAAGGTAGTGAGTTTTCTTCAAATGAAACGAGTAGGACATGGATTAGATATGTTTTACTACCCCGTACCTCAAAGCACAATGTTCGCCAGCGTAAAAGTAAGTTGGAAGAAGGCTAGAACTGACCAAACATCTTATTTGGAGTTCATCACTTGAATATTTACATTGAGAGTTGTGAATCAAACATTTTGCACTTTAAATACCATCGCATTATTCATTGAACTATTGATACAGATGAAAACCATGAATTCTACTGATAATCATTCTTATCTAATATTATTGATATCATTAATAGTTTTGAGGTAAAACTATTCCACTATACTACCTCTGGGTTAAGAAACGAATAAATTGGCATTATGAAACATAAATTTGCAAGGCTGTGTGCTTAAATATATATTTATATTCCATAAAGGTATGTCTAAGTGTTACGTAATTTGAGGGAGTCTACAGGAATAATCGAATCTTGGTTTCATACCAGTTGGCAATCATCAACATAGCATATCTTTAAAATTGAAGGGACTGATACTGTTTGTTGGATTCAAACTTTTTATACAATATCCTGTGGTACTGAGGTGTTTGTATCGACCATTCACTTGGTAGTAACCTATTGTCTATCTCTTAATACTGACAGAACTGTCCATGTCGATCAAGTTTCAGTGTGGCCTTCAGTTTGAATGATTTATCTTGGGTCTCACTGTGACACTACATTGTAGATTTGAAACTTATCAGATGTTGAGGTTCATTCAGTATTTCAAATATGATTTTCTAACAAACGCTAACACAAAATCTTAGTCCAGGATTTCCCAGCCAAAAATTCTTTAAAATATCTATTTTAATTGGTGATCCATGGATTATGAAACCATGAGTCACTAAAGGTGATAAAGACAACATAGATCAATTGAAACTGATTCAATAGATCAGTAACTTAGAAGTGGTTAATTTATTTGGCTCCAATCATACGATCCCTAGTCGAAACCCCACCTGATCTACTGTGACTTCAATGGTCGAGTAGTATCCGTTTCCCTCAGGCTTAATATGTGATTCAAAGTCATGTCGATAAACCTGTGTTCGTGAGTGGCTTACATAATAAACCTGTGATTTAAAATAGAAATTTGACGAAGTTATCAATTGTTTTGCTAAAAGTACAGGTATGTGCCAATCAGAATGGAGAACGAAACTTCTGATTTTTGTACGGAATTCAGATAAACAATAAAAGTACCTTTTTTATACTGGTTAAAACGTTTAAAATCATAAGAAAGAAACTACTTTTTCAACCGTCGAATAAAGACGATAGTGTTAAATGTATCAAATCCTCAACTCTGTCTTATTTAATTGCATATAATAGGCAATCGGATACTATCTCTAAGTCCTAAACCTGATGGCGCTACATTTTGTGGACAAACTTGTCAGGCAGGGTCTTTTGGATGTTTGAGCGAAATCCATTGATCTAAATTCTTACAGAGCATTTTTACATCATAACTAATGTCAGTTCGTAACGGCAACTCTAACCCTTAAACCCTAATCCGTACCCTGATTCACGATTCCGCACCCGGTAATTGAACCGAGAACCTTCGGTGTGTGAACACTTAATATTCAGGTAACTAAGCCTGGATTTAATAATGCACAAATCCAACTTCAATCAGTGTACGATATTGTGTGAAAATAATCACTTTTGAATCGTCAGTGTTAAAGCCTATCTTCATTCTATTCTAATTATTTTAAAATAAAAATAGGGTTATAATAAAGATGACGAGTCAATTATTGAGACTTTGTAACTTAATCAACTAAAGTTTCAGGGAAATGTGATCAAGTATGCCCAACCATCACCTATATATACTGCTGGCTGGTTTAAGTAAGAGTGGGTAGGTTTTAAGAAAGCTAGAAGCGTCAGAAGTACACAAAAAATCATTACATTGTGGTATAAACCTTAGTGATATTTAGATATACATTGTTTTGTAATAGTTTGTGAGGTTCTAATAGTGCAAATGGAATCGTTTCTGTATTTTCCTCTATGTCTTAACTTTTAATATCTCGTTTTGGATATCACATTTCTTACTCCATCAATTCTTTCTTCCTTTTCAAACTAATCTCAATATATGTGATATGTGATGTCCAGTAGTGATTTTCCATCCTATTAGAGATTCATCAATTAGATACACTTGCATCTCAGTGTTTGTGTCCACATTAGAACCTGACTTTAGTACTTTTCACTTAAAAGACCAACACACATTATCTACTGAGTTAGTGAACTTAATCGACATTTTTAACCTATTTTACTATAATTGAGACTTCTATTATTATTATTTCAATTCTTTTGCCGTTCGTCTTGTTAATTTCATACCATTTTGGCAGTATTCAGTAAGAACATTTAAAACCAGTGCATACTTGTGCCAAGTTGTAAGTTGTTTCAAGTCTGATAGATTGACTCATACTTGTTATCCCTCAAGAATTATCATTTAGAGATGATCATCATGGCTTGACTTACAATTTGAAATTAACTTTATCTAAGGGGAATTCATGAACTCCAATGTTATTTTATGTTAATGGATGAATTATAAAACTGTGACATGTTAAACATTTATCGTTGTTTGTCTACTCAAATCTGATCTTAATGCAACTTACCCTCTTCCTTTCTCTTTCTCTCTTTTCCTATTTGTGTCTCTCTTAATTTTAAACACACCATCTTGATATAAAATGAAACGTAACTTATGTATTAAACAACACATTCTGTATGTAACCAATTATGTTTTGTACAAAATGAATAGTCTACTGTTTATCAGTTATACAATTGTGACATCATATTATATGTATATAAACTTGACTACTCTGCCACTTAGAATAGAGTGTATTGTTTACAAAATGTGACAGGAATTATGATGCAATACATAGTTAGTTATATGAAATGAATGATAAACAACTGTGTAGAGAATATTTCTCTCTAAATTACTGAATTATTTATTAATTGTATTTGTAAGGGGCTGGAATTGAAGGGTCATTTATCGTTACGGTAGTAGTGATAATAATAATAATCATAGTAATCATAATAATAATATCGATGGAATGTATGCACAGTTTACTTAACTAGTGTCAAATGAAAAGATACCCATAAATAAATAGTGTAAATAGGGAAACTAAATTGTTGTTAGTAAATACTTTCGGTATTAATAATAATAATAATAATAATAATAATAATAATAATACCATATTTATCAGAAGAGGTTTGTGGAGACTTTAGAAATTTCACAGATTGAAATCATGAGTCAATTGAAGTTAGACCACCATGGAAAACCTGTAAGCACTGGACGGCCGTTTCGTCCTAGTATAGGACTCCTTGGCAGTGCGCATCCACGATTCCGCACCCCGCGAGATTCCAACCCAGGGCATATCGGTCTCGCGCCAGTCTAGCTTCAATTGACTCATGACTTCAATATGTGAAATTTCTAAAATCTCCACAAACTCCTTCCGACAATAATCATCTGCTCACTAGTGACTGACTTCAAGAGATACTCCTGGAGTTCTAGTGAGAAGTCGTTACCACCAGTGGAGTTCAACAAGGTCTGTTGTGAGATATCAGCTCACTGAAGACAATGGTGTACGGTGTCGCAACTTCGTGGATTGGTTGAAATTAGACATTAACACCGTTGGATACCATCCGGCTCAGTGGTCTAGTTGGTTAAGCGCCTGGTGCGAGACTGATAGGTCCTGGGTTCGAATCCCGAGGGGTGCGAGATCGTGGATGCGCACTGCCAAGGAGTCCCATACTAGGACGAGACGGCCGTCCAGTGCTTCCAGGTTTTCCATGGTGGTCTAGCTTCAATTGACTCATGATTTCAATCTGTGAAATACCATATTTGTTTTATCCGTTATTGATAAATTGATGTACACATAGCTTAGTTAAATGTTTTATGTAAATGAATTCAGTTGAAAAATTATTTTCATCATGATTGATATCAATTAGAAAATTATTGAATATCGGGGAGATGTTTTCAATGAATTAGTCAGAGGGAATCAGTAAAAAACCCTAGACCTATGTTTTATGCTAGTTAACACATGTTAACAAAGTCTACCTGTAAACTCCTGTGGACTGTTGGTCCTTGTATGGTTCGGATCTTCTTTACACACTTTCACATTCTAAGAAATTATCATTGAGACTTTCAATCCATGACTGAAATACTGTATGACTGAGTTATTTATACTGATTGATCATCGTATAAAGTGATCACTGACATATCTAGCTGGATATTGAGTATACCCCTATTAAATGTTATGGAAATTGTATTGTAATAAGACTATAGCTCTCAGTTCAACTGTCTTTGAAGGAATAAACAAAAGCACCTCCATAAATTAGAGAGTATTCAGCATTTCTCCCCAAGTTATTATTAAACTTATCATCAGTGCTGTACTTCATCAGTTTTTCTCTTTCATACACACACTCACACATACATGGAATTTCATTTTATAACTTTAAATTATATGATGAATATATGTTGATGTTGAGTTATGGCTACTTAGGAATTCAATAATAATCTCACTGTTTGAACAAGAGTGATATCATAAACCCTTTAGTTTAATTTATATATTATGTAAATTGTGTCATATCATTACGAATTGAGGGTTTGTGTGGATTGTTGTTTACATCATCGACTGATTTTAATTGGGAAAAAAAAACAGGAAACTATCGATCAACTGTTTTATTCCTATATGACGCTCCTTAGCAATGTGTATCCATGATCCTATTTGTGAACAAGCTACAAAGTTACATACTAACTAGCATAAATCAGTGTTGAAAAACTATGTCATATTAATCGAACTGTAGGATCATATTTGGTAATACATGTATGATAACG